TAGATTTAAGGAGTGAACCCGGCATGGGGGTGATGCCGGGGTCTCCGCAGGGTTCGTCTTGGGTTCTGGGAAATTCGGGACGGGTCCTGTCAGTAAAAATTCTAAGTTTTGTTGAGAGGTTGGATATGGACTCTGGCAATTCTCCTCCAAAACGATTTCGGCTAAAACTCAACACCTCAAGATTAGTACAATTAGCAAGGAAACTGAGAGAACTCAGGTCACCAGTTTTTCCACTTCCCAGTCTATTGTCATCAAAGTTCAGTCTAGATAAGCTTTGCAAGCTTCCGAAATGTTCAGCTTGGAGTTTCCCAGTGAGACCATTTTCAGCAAAATCAAGCTGTCGAAGTGTAGAAGCATTTGACAAGGATACAGGAATATTACCTGTGAATTTGTTGACACCACCAGCAAATGTCTCCAGATTAGGAAGAGTGATCCCCACATCTTTTGGCAGCTCTCCGTGCAGCTGGTTCTCAGTAACAATGATATAGTGTATGGAGGATATATTATAGATTGAAGAAGGAACCATACCAGAAAGTTTATTCCCAGGAATTACAAATCTTCCCAAGCTTGTGCAGCCCGAGCTCATTCGGTATGCTTCCTTGAAAATTGTTTTGAAAAATATTAATAGCATACAGAGAAGAAAAGTTCCCTATCCAATCTGGGATTGTTCCAGTGAGATTGTTACCACTAACGCATAGATGAGTTAAATTCAACAATGATTTGAGTTGATCCGGAATGGACCCAATAAGCTTATTGGAACCAACATTAAGCACTCTCAGCTGTGTACAGTGAGATATGTTACTTGGAATTTTCCCACCAAAGGAATTGAAACTGAGGTTGAGATATCGCAGGCGGAGCAGACGTCCCATTTCTTGAGGAATTTCACCATGAAAGAAGTTGTGTATCAAGTTGATTCCGGTGAGATAAGTCAGATTTCCTATAGAAGGTGGTATGGAGCCTACCAATTTTTGAGCTTCCAGGTTCAAAGTCACGACTCTTTTGTTTGAATGGTTGCATGTTGATGTAGAACAAATTGCGGATTTTATCGCGGTTGAGCTAGAAAAAAGACGTAGCAGGAATTTGCAGATTTGTCGTCCGAGCTTCAATTAGGACGCAAAATACCATTTCGGAAAGGGAACAACGCCACGAGTCAAACTCACAGATTTGCTGTGATGTATGATGGATTTTGGCATCCTGAGGTCGTTTGGCCTTCTAAAACTGCATTCAAAGTTTCGTAGTTAATTTTCGGAATACATTCTGTTTTTCAGTTTTAATGTAATAACTTCCCCTAGCAGCTCAAGGGTTGAGAGATGTGTATTTAGACAGATTTGGTGAACGTTTTTTATCATCTCAGATTTTAATAAAATTATCCTAAGAGAATTCTTTTTAATTCCTGGTGGAATCCAAATTTCTTGTTACTCAAGGTTTTCGTTTGAAACCTTTGTTGCTTGTGCTGCGTCACATGTAACGCCAACCCAGCTGCAGAAATTGATGGAACCATTCCATGTGCTCATGATATGCAGAGGATCTTCAGTTATTCTTTTCTTCAAGTCTAGCGGAGCCAGGTGATCAGATTCATCTCCAAAGGTGCTCAAGCTCATGCATAAGAGAAAGAAGCCGTACCCGTGAAGGAATTTAAAAAAGATCTGCCACATCTTTCTGTAAATAATGCAGTCTTACATGAGAACTCTGTTTCTATGTTAATGCAGATTTTGTTCTAGTTTCATTATGGAGATGATATTTTTAGTTGGGAAGCAGATCTTTTTTCTATATCAGATTTTTAGTTGGGAAAGCAGGTCTATATTAATAATTTCATTAGAATAGATTTTTATAGTTGAGATGGTGACACATGTTCTAAAGTTAAGACTTGTTACAGTATGAGTCATCTAAAGACTTCTGGATAATTGAGATGGTGACATGTTCTAAATATTACATGCATATAGAGTTAAAATGATTGTATTATATTATTATTTATAGCTCCAGGGGAGACAACCATTTTGCTCATAGTTTGCATCACAAGTTTCTTAGGGATATTTCCAGCTCATAGGAGGCAACCATTCTGCTAACAGTTTTATAATTTATGTACATAGAAAAGGCATGTCTAAAGCATGGTATGGTAAATACAAAAGGACCAAATAATATCATATAAAATCTTCATGCGGCTCAACAACAATATAAAGCCCTACACCGACACTCCCATTTATTTGAGTGTGCATAAGATTATTGATAATTGAAGAAAAAATTGGGGGAAATATTTTAGGATCATACACATATGTGAAGAATATGAAACTCCCCATCGACAGTTTAGGATCATACACATATGTGAAGAATATGAAATTCCACATCGACAGTTTGATTTATTTGGGAGTGCATAAAATTATTGATAATTGAAGGAAAAATTAGGAGAAACATTTTTAGGATCATACACATACGTGAAGAATATAAAAACTATAAAAATTTCCATGCTCCCACTTTTTTTTCTTTGGTCTTTTGGTTTTTGTAATAAATGGTCTACCCACTATAAACCTAAAATTTATAGTATATTATCTGTGTGGTGTCCATGGTTTTCGCTGGTGCAGAGGGTGACATGTTAAAGCTGGCACTGATAGTGAAGAAAAGAAGTTTAAGCTTATATTAAGGACCCTTTCTGGTTTGTTCAATTTTTCCACATCTGATTAGGAGTTCGGTTCGGTTATTTGGTCGTATTAAACAATAATTATGGACTTCTGTTTAATTATTAGTGATCATGTCTTGTACGCAAAACCGATGTACTTTTAGACTTTTGGGTTATTGACTTTGATGATCTTGTTGAATATATGGCCCCATAGACTCGCTTGTGTGATAAATCTAGGGGTGGCATTTTAAACCGAAAAATCGAAAAACTGCAAAAACCAACCGATAATTTATCGCAATGAAACCGCAATCGTGGTAAACCGAACCGCATTTGCGTTATTAAGAATCGAACTACATTTGTGGTTGCGGTTGCGGTATTTGATTTTTAAAACTTGCGGTTACCGCAAACCTCAAAGTATAGCCGCATGGATGATGATGTTGAATTCTACAAGGAAATGAAACATATGACAACTTGTAAGTAATTAGTTTATTTATGCTAATGTTATTTATGCTTCTTCTTATAATAAAATGTACTAAACTATGTTGTTTTATTTGTAGATAACATTGGTGCTCAAACAACACAACAAGGTTCTTCAAATCCACTCACCACCTACACTTGAGTTTGTAACATTGGTGCATTGCATTTTCCTTTTAGTTTGTAACTTTAATTAACTTTGAATTGGATTTTTCTTTTTTGTTGTAACTTTAATTCATTTTACTTTGCATTTTCCTTTTGGTTTGTAATTTAAAGGATTTCGAATTGGAATGCTTGAGAAGTTTAACTTTAATTGGAATGCTTGGAATTGTAACTTTAATTTTCTTAGGTTGTGAATGCTTGAGAAGTTGAGGAGATTGTGAATTTATATATGCTTGAGAAATTGAGGTTGTGTATTTATTTATTTAGGTTGTGAATTTATATTTTTGTGAATGCTTGAGAACTTGAGGTTTTAAACCGATAATTCACGGTAACCGACCGCATTTCGGTTTGCGGTTTCAAAAATCACCAAATCGCAAATAGTCGGTCGGTTTGCGGTTTGAGTAAAAATTCGCGGTTACCGAACCGCAACCACCCCTAGATAAATCTATCTAGCTAGCTTCTAGAATGGTTAGAGCATCCACAATAGGGGATGTATATGGGGGTGTATGTTAAATATACACCCTGAGTCACCGGAATCGTCTTCAATGGGGAGGTGTAAAAGGATGTAAATTTACATCACCACCTTTGAGGTATAAAATAAAATGTATATTTACATCCAAATTTATATCCCTTGCAGGAGGGACCCATCCGAGAAAAGAGAAGAAAAGTCAGCATAAATGTCTGGGACCTGCAGCTACTGTAATTTCTGAAAAAAATTGGCATAATTATTGGAATGAAAAATTGAAAAATGATGTAATATGAATTTACAGATTTAGCATTCGAGCTCCGATTGGGGTCCATGATACCTTCCCAAAAAGGGAACGACGTCACGAATCATACTCACTACACATAGGGTGGATTTTTGGCTTTTGAGGTCGTTTAGGCTTCCAAAACAGCATTTATATTGGATTTTAATTTTTAGGTTTCTTTATTTATTTCTATTCTTTAACCTATTAGGTACTTTACAATCCAACGATTTTTTTTGAATGAAATCATATCTTCTCCGAATTTAAATATTTTTAGGTCCATTTGTTTGAAAAAATAAAATTAACCTAATACAAAAAAAATTAATTTTATAAAGTAAACACAAAATACAAATTTAATACAAAAACGAATTAAGACAAACAAAACAATTATACATCTTAGATTTACATCTTTTCCCATTGGAGCAAAAAACGAATTTACACCCCCCGGAGGTGTAAATGGGATGTAAAAGTGGCTTTACACTCCCGAATCTACACCCCCCCACTGTGGATGCTCTTATGAGGGGTTATGAGGGATAAGTCATCTAATTGTGATTTTACTTGGATGGCCATATATAAACTTTGACCAAAAGGAAAAATATATGAATAGACTTGACTTATATTTTGAGAGAATTTTACATTCAAAGATGAAAGATTTTCTTGAGTGGTTAAAAGATTTTGGGTCTCTTCAACTACTATTAAGAAATTGATGCTCACTTCTAATAATAAGAATTCATAGGCTACAGCTATCGGGGTCTAACCTAGTATAAAATGACATTAATTTGTAGACCGGTTTCATTGCGATAAATTGTCGGTTGATTTTTGCGATTTTTCGATTTTTCAGTTTAAAATGACACCCCTAGTTTAGACTATCACTTGTATTAAAAATAAATAAATAATTCATAAGCTACATCACTTCTTCATGTCACAAAGCAACCTTGGAATATTTCCGAACCAGGCGGGTTTCCTCTTTTCTTTTTCTTTTCTTTTGTGTGTGTTGTTTTTGGGCCTTCTACTCATAAGAAATTGTTCAAGACAACTAGATCACTAATTAAAAATAAAACAATATCTTAACACGATTGAGTTCAAGCCTTGTCTTAATATATTTGAATAGAAGAAATAAAACCTTCTTCCCTTAATTTTTCCATATAAAATGCTGAATTCAACCTCACATGATCTCACACAGATTGATACATATAATATCCTTTATCAAAAGATTTCTGGCATGTAGATGAGGGTATTGAGATTAGTTAACAAACTTAGCCTATCTTGTACTTTTCGATCTTCTTCTTCTTCTTCTTAAATTGAGATATGAGTCTCTAATTGCATTCATTTTGTTGACAACGACATCCATAGACATCCGGTCTCTTGGTGATGTTGCAGAGCATGAGAGCCCTATTTGCATCAATGAATCCAAGCATTCCTCCAATCTTTTTGCTTTGACTGGGCCAGGATCTTTATATCCTGCTACTTGTCTTTCTTCTATGCGATTTCCATATTTGTTGTCATCATCGTCATCTTCATCATTCTCGTCATCTGTTTCAGAGAGCAATGAAGGCTCAACTATGTCCATGACATGGTCAGGGAAAGCCATGGCTGTGAATTGGTGAATGCTTAGACCATCTTTGAACATGTCATCCGTTGGTCTTTTTCCTGTGAACATTTCTAGCAACAGTATCCCATAGCTATAAACATCCCCAAGTATGGAAACTTGGCCTCCCATTCCATACTCCTGTCAATTGACACATACATTAGGATGTCACATTCAATTTTCTTTAATAATAAGTTAATAGGAATAGAAAAAAAAAATGAGGATTATAAAACTTCATATACCTGGAGGAATGTAGCCTACGGAACCCTTTAGCCCAACTGACATGGTTTGAGATTTCGTGGGATTATTTGATGCTTCCAAAAGGAGCCTTGCTAGACCAAAGTCACCAACATGGGCTACCATATCTTCATCAAGAAGAACGTTGCTTGGCTTTAAGTCACAATGAACAATGCATGTTTCACAATTGTGGTGTAGATAATCTAATGCAGAAGCAACATCTATGGCAACATTTAGTCTTTGGATCAGGCTCAATCTCTTACTTTGAGATTGTTCATCATCTCTTGGATGCAGCCACTGGTCTAGACTTCCATTTTCCATGAACTCGGAAACTAGACTTTTGAACTCATTACCTTGGTTGTCAATGCTTGAGCATGCGGTTATGATCTTGAGAAGATTGCGGTGCCTTATACTTCTTAAAGCTTTGCATTCATCAATGAAACTCTTGGAAGCTCCTTCTTGGTTAAGGTTTAATACCTTAACAGCAACTACCATGCCATTACTAGAGAGTACTCCTCTGTACACAGAACCGAAACTTCCTGAACCAATGAGATTGTCAAGAGAGAACCCGTTGGTTGATTGAGCGAGTTCTGAGTATGAGACGGCTAATTTCCAATCCCCATAAGAATGTGAAGTTAAAAGTGGACCTCTTGACCTTTTCACCATTCTACAAGCAGCAATAAAGCATGATAGGGCAATGAATGCAAGTGCACAAGTTACAGGAATTACTACTTTTGGGGAAAGTAATCTTTGAGATAAATGAGGCTTTTTGTTAGAGCA